CGGGTTCAAGCTCCACTGGTGACCTATAATTACTTTAGGGTTTTTTAATTCTTTGAAAAATTCCACCCATTATCCAGTTATTATACTTTAATTTACCCATAACGAGAAAAAAGAGTGAGGGATTCTTACCCTGAATCAGTGTTCGAAACACTGTCTTTTTCACTTCGCTTCCTAACAGTTCTCGGATTTCCTAAATTTTTTCCGTGAAAATCAAAAACACACATTACATATTCAAAAATACCCCAAAAGAATAAGCATTTTTTAATTTTTCCAGCCGGTTTAGGTTTCTGGCATGACAGTGCCGTCGTGCTCCAGCTCTGGCGCCCACAGTGGCGCTTCCTCTCGATTTGGCTATTTTTGACCGATTTTGCATGAAAACCTGCCAAAAAAAAAAAAGTTAGGGGGCCTCTGTCAATCGAAAAAGGGGAAAACTGACACCCTACTGGCGGAGGGATTTCCTGGTGCAGTGGCTCTGTCGTTCCTATTTCTTGGTCAAGGTTTCTCTTCAGCTAACCTGTACCAAAAAGAAATGAGGAACATGAAGGTCAAAAAATTGAGGGAAACGGGAAACAGGAAAGGGATCATCAGAGAGGGTATTTGGGTTACAACTGCAACAGCTCAGCCGAGCTCTACTTAAATTTTCTGGCTCATTTGTTGGCCTTTTGGCTTCAGTATGGGTGTGGGGAGGTTTAAAATCCAATTTTCGGTGGAAAGGAAAAAAGTTTTACCTTTTCGGCATCGATGGTGGCTCCAGTGTGGCGGCAATGGTGTCCCTCCGGTGACTGAGCTTTTCTCCGACGACCCTTCTTCTTCTTCTTCTCCAGTCAGAGGTGTCGGCAAGCGTTTGGGAGCCGACCGACGAGAGGTTTAAATATCTCTCTTCCCCTGATCTTGACCGTCCATTTGTGTCGACATAGAGTAAGGAGAGCCGTCCGATTGGAGACCCGTATAGGCAGATCCGTGTGCAAATCTAGATCGTCCATCGCGATCATCTGGAGTGAATCTTGCCCATTTATTGCCCCACTGTTGGATCTTCATACAGCTAATCAAAGTTGTCCGTTTAAATTTAGGCAGGATTGGGATCTCACCATTCGTGCGAGAAAGAATGGATGTGGGTCGTTGGATCGCCCAGGCACGCGGGTCACCCGCGTGGCTCCCACGTAGAACCTATGCCAGCCTGTCCGCGACGTGGCTCATTCTGACTCGCTGTTGATGGTGATGTGGTCGTCCCACGTGGCCCATATTTCTCTTTTTTACGATTTGATCCCTTATTTTTTAATTTTCTTTCAAATATACCCCATTTTATTCACAGTTTCACCCCGTTTTTTAAAATTGATTTTTAATTTCATCCAAAATCCATATTTCTTCAAAAATTAACAAAAAAATTTAAAACTAAATTGTTTTAATTTATTATTTCGTTAATATTAAATTATCTCGTGCCAAAATTTTGAACTTGAGTGTTACAACTCTCTCCCCTTTAAGAAAAAATTTGGTCCCTTAAATTTATCGCTCTCACACTAGTCAAACAGTTGGGGGTACTGGGCCCCAAAGTTTGATTCTAGCTCCCAAGTGACCTAGTCCTTCGAGTGATTCTACCATAAGACCTTGACGAAAGAAATTTCTCTATTATGAAACACTCTGCTCTTTCGGTCTAAAATATTTACTGGTACTTTCTCATAAGATAGATCCTCTTATAGTAAAAGTGGCTCATGATACAAGATATGAAAAGGATTTGGGTTGTACTTACGTAGTATAGATACATGAAATACATTATGCACCCTGAATAGCTCTATAGGTAGTATTAATCTGTAGGCGGATGTACCAACCTTGTCCAAGGTTTCAAACTGTCCGATGAACCAGAGGTTTAACTTTCCTCTCTTTCTAAGCCTGTTGATACCTTTAAAGGGGGTGACCTTAAGAAACACTCGATCGCCTTTCTAAAATTATAAATCTCTCTTTTGGGTGTCTGTATAACTCTTCTACCTATTCTGAGCTATATGGAGGTTCTTCCTAATTTTGACTATCTTTGCTGTGGTCTCATCTACAAGATCTAGGCGAAACAATTTACTATCACCCACCTTTTCCTAACCGATCAGTGATCTATAAGGTCGGTCATACAACATCTGATACGGAGCCATGCCAAAACTTGTTTGATAACTTTTATTTAGGTAAACTCTATCAAAGGTAAGTGATCGTCCCAATGTCCTTCGAAGTCTAGAACACAAACCTAAGCATATCCTCTAGTGTGCGAATGGTTCGTTCTAATTGTCCATCTGTTTGAGGGTGGAATGTTATGCTAAGGGATAGTTTCATTCTCAATGTTTGCTGAAAACTTGACCAAAATTGAGATGTGAACCTAGAGTCCCTGTCTGATACCACTATCACTGGAGCTCCATATAGTCTGACTATCTCCTGGATATAGATCATTGCTCGCTTGTCTAAGAGGTCGGTCATCCTAATGATTAGGAAGTGAGAGAACTTGGTGAGTCGGACAACGATTACCCAAATTGTATCATGCCCCGAGCGTGCCTTAGGCAACCCTATTACAAAATCTTTAGTAATATGTTCCCATTTTCACTCTAGTATTGGTAATGGTTGAAGTAGTCCGTCCGGGCGTTGATGTTTTGCCTTAACCTGCTGAGATACAAGGCATTTGGAGACGAAATCAACAAATTTTTTTTTTTCATCCTGCTCTACTAGAATCGGGGTCGCATGCTTTGGTACATCTTAGTACTTTCGGGACGCATGGTGAACTTTGAATTGTGAACTTCGTCATGATATCTATATTTAGTTCACTATCATTTGGAATACACTCTCTGTCTTGGAACCTGAGCAACCCATCGACAAAGACTCAAAATTATGAATTTATGTACTATTTTGTATCCTTTCTGAGAGCTACTAGAGTGGAATTAGTCAGTTGGACTTCCTTTATTCTCTAAATCTGGCCCTTTTTAAATCCTGAAGTTGTATCTGTTGCGCAACCTCTATTACCTTGCATTCATAAACCATTATGTGAGTCAACATATCTGTACTTTTCCTACTGAGCATGTCGGCTACCGCATTGCCTTTGTTTGGGTGATACAAGATCTTACAATTGTAATCCTTGTAGAGCTCTATCCAATGCCTCTAATGCATGTTGAGGTCCTTATAGATGAATATATGCTTCAAGCTCTTATGGTTTGTGTAAATCTCAAAAGTCTCCCCATACAAGTAGTGGCGCTAGGTTTTCAAGGCGTGGATAATAGCGGCAAGTTTTAAGTCGTGAGTGGGGTAATTCTTTTCATGACTTTTCAACTGCCTAGACCCATACCTTTCTGTGATGCATCAGAACACAGACCAACCTTAGGTAGGAAGCATCATTATATACTGTGTATCAACATGTCCCACTCGGTAGAGCTAAAACAGGCACGGTAGTTAACCGTTTCTTGAGTTCTGTAAAGCTTATTTCAAATTTTTACCTTTTTTATGTCAGCGGTGGCTTCAGTGTAGCGACAATAGTGTTCCTCTGGCAACTGAGCTTTTCTCCAACCACCCTTACTCTTCTTCTCCGGTCAGAGGTGTCGGCTAGGGTTTGGGAGCCAACTAAAGAGTGGTAAACCTCTCTTCCCCTGATCCTGACTGTTCATTTGTGTCGACGTGGAGTAAGGGGAGCTGTCCGATTCGAGACCGTTTAGGCAAATCTGTGTGCAAATCTGAACCGTCCATTGCGATCCTCCGAAGTGAATGTTGCCGGTTCATCGCCCCACCATTGGATCTTCACACAACTGATTAGAGCCGTCCGTTTGAATTTGGACGGGATTGAGATCTCACCATTTGTGCGAGTGGGAACGAATGTGGGTTGTTGGATTGCCTAGGCACGTGGATCATTCGCGTAGAACCTGTTCCAGTGTGTCCGTCATGCGGTGCGTTCTAACTCGTCGTTGCTGGTGATGTAGTCATCCCACTTTGCCTGCATTTCTCATTTTTGCGATTTGACCTCCTATTTTTTAATTTTTCTTTCAAATACATATTCATTTATTCACAATTTCACCAAGTTTTTCAAAATTGATTTTCAATTTCATCTAAAATCTATATTTCTTCAAAAATTAACAAAAAAATTAAAAATTAAATTGTTTTAATTTATTATTTTGTTAATATTAAATTATTCCGGATCTAATTTTTGGGTTCAGGTGTTACACCAATACACATAAAATTTGTTGTAATCAATATTTATGGATTACCAATTGATAGGTAGCAATAAGAAATTAAATTACATATAAAATACCATATTCCAAACTTATTGTTTTGTTATGCATGTAGCTTTATAATACTTCCATTCAATGAACAAACTTTCTAAGAAAAGAAACTAATAATGATGATTAATAATTAATCTATTCTGACCTCATCTACAATTGTTTGTCCAATTTAAAATGATATATTACTATATTAATATCTAACTGTTAGTGCTTATTACAATTTCTTTTTTAATATTTTTTTATTATAATTTAATACTTGATATTTTTTATTTATCTTAAACACTATTCCTTTTAATTTTCTATTAGAAAAATTAAAATGAGTAAATCATATTTAAATACTTTAAAAAATAACTTAAAATATATTTAAATTTATAAATCATTAATTTAATTAATTAATACAAATTATTTTAAAAAATTTATTTTTTAAAGCATTATAATATAATTATTTTAACTTTTTTTAAAAAAAAAATGAGAATTACCCCTTAAAAACAAACGGAAAATATCAAAACCTAAATTATTAAGAAAAAAAATTAAAAATTAAATTATAATAAGTGATAAACATTAGGAACTTATAAAAAAAAAAAATCTATATTTGAACTATATAGTTTTAATAACTGTATTCTAAAATGAAAAAAATTATGATTAACACCGCGGGAAGAGAAAGTTACAAGGGGAGAAGCCGTTTTTTTTTTTTTTAAAAAAAAAAAATACTATCTTCACATCATTACTTATACAGAAAAGAGAAACATTCCGTGTAGAGTATACAATCCAGTGTAACATATAATCCATGATTCCTTTTGTACATGTACATCAGAAACTCAGCATGTACACAGAAAGAAAGCATAAAAGAAATAAAGCAACAAATAGAACCTTCTGAAGTAAGAAAAGAAAAAGAAAAAAAGAAAAGTTGAGAGTCTCATCAGTTCTCACATTTCCAACTACTAGTAGGCACACAGCTCAGATAGTGGCACCAACTACAGTGTTTGTGTCCATTCTCTCCTCTAAACAACATTACCAATCCCACAGCAAACCTGTAATTGTGCATTAATAAAAACTAGTTAATCTCAATTGATCCTCATCTATATGTTTATCTAGACAAAATATACACACTTCTCGCAGCATATATTCTATTTTTTACAACCTAATCCCATGAGGAGTAAGGCAGCTATTTTCCATGAGATAGTTATTCCACCCGCTAAGTCAATCAACTGAGTTAAAAGTAACGTTCGAAAGGGGAGAAGCCAACATCAAATATTAATACATGCATAACAGTTGTTACAAGTCATAGACTCGGTATGTTTCGTATGTGTTGTGAAGTTGATTTTGGTAATTGCACCTGATTACTACATGCAAATAGGCTCATAAATTATAGTGTCTCCAATACTCTACAGAACTTTTAAATATAACAGGAAGCAACAATATTCTAAGCGGTCAAGTATTTTCACTTACCCAGCAATGAGAGCAATTGCGGCAATCACCCATAACACGTATTGGTAAGCCTTGTGCTTAGACTTGACACGGGCACCAGCAGGAAGATGATGACTTTCTGCCCACCCAAACTGGGGACGGAGTAGCAAAACAAAGCCAAGTAGAAAACCAGTCACGAAACCTCCAATGTGTGCAAAGTTGTCAACATGAGGAAGAATCCCTACTGCTAGGTTAACAGCAATGACAAAGACAAGTGTGATAAGGGCTGCAGCCTACAACAAGAGCAAGAGGAAGAGTCATAACAAAACTTGACAATTATTAACCACAGGTTACAGTCCTGAATGAAATTCTCGATCATTATTAGTAGAGAAATGGATTAGGAGCAGACAGCAATCGGTCACCTCTAAATGCAAACAATGCAAAATTGTTACCTACAGATAGCAGCATACCTTGTTAGAATAGATACTCCAATTAGTAAGAAGCTCCGATAACATTGCTCCAAGAAGCCCAAACAAGGCTCCAGACGCACCGACGGAGATATTTCTTTGAATAAAAAGAGATGAGAGTATGCTCCCACCAAATCCTGACAATAGGTAGATGATGCCTACTCGAACTGCATATTATATTTCCGTTGGGGGCAAAGGAAAAGTCAGAATGTATGGGGAGAGGAAAATAACAACAAATGCATTCATCATGATATCCCCAATGAGACAAGAAACCATAGATTTATCATATCTATAAGTAAATGATACTTCCATTTTCTTATCTCCTTTTGTGCCTACAAATACATACTGATATATATATATATATATATATATATATATATCACATATATAGAATGTCCTTTTGTTACCAATGTCTCCAATAAATAGCTCTTAATTAAACACATAGTACAGGCATAAAAATGAGTGCCAACAAAAGTGAACCACATACCAAAACCAAATTGCTGCTCTAGGCGAATCCCAATAAATACCAAGCTCAGCATATTTGCAAGCAGATGGATAACGCCAGCATGCAACCACATACAAGTGATGAGTCTCCATCCTTGATTGCCATGCACCACCTTTCTCCACTCCAGAGCCCCCATTTTTTCCAATCTAAAATAGGAGAAATAGAAAGATTATTAAAATAGATTGCAGTTTCATCAATCTCATACCTGACAAATAGAAATGTCTGATTTTCTTCAACTTTCTTTTTCATTGAGAAATTTTTTCTCTTATCACTTCCTTTTTAGAGAGAGAGAGAGAGAGACAGAGACAGAGACAGAGAGAGAGAGAGAACAAAGTATCTCCCTCCATGTTCTAGATAACTTAAACTTAAGGTTACATGCTTTTAAGATGGGAGCCACTCCATCAGAAAACAACCTTGTTTACTTGGTTATAGACGAAACTAAAATAAATCTTGGGTGCATATATAATGGTTACTAAATGTGATAACCAAAGACAACTTTGTCTTTTTTTATGGTTCAATTAATCAAGGTGAAAATATTTGATACCTTCACGTTAGTTAGTTATTTAATGCTGTACAGCTACAGGCGATGTCCAAAACTCTGTTATAATTTGCAAATAATCTAATAATATTTTATAAAGTTCAGAACCTTCTCAGCCAAATTGGCTCAAGACTAACTCGAGTGCTGATTGGATTTACAATACACCAAAAGCAAACAAGATAACTAAAGTTCAAATGGAGTCAAGACACCTATCCTGTTTTGAGCTGTTCCATCCCCATAACTATCATAATGCTTCAAAAACTGACACACCAAAAGTCCTCCTGGTTGTCCCAATCGAACACAGGAAAAAAAGGAAAAAAAGAACATATCAAGTAAATCTGGTAAACTGAATTTAGAAATAGGCTAAACCAATACTGCTAAAAAAATGGGATAACCCAATACAAGTTGTACTTGATTCGCAATACACACGCCTATACTTATTTCCCATACAATAAAATTTGTTTTCCCCAAATTCTTTAGTTAAAACACAAAACAAGCTCAAACAGCAGTCTGATAAAAGAAAAGAAAAGAAATAACCATCAGAACTTCATTGATCCCAGGCCAGAGATCAAGTTCATCTCACACTTATGATTGTAAACAAAACTTAAAATCAATAACCAGAAACAGAAAATTCATAGTAATTAACAAGAAGAATAAACAAACCAGAATTTACATATAGTTAAAATCAATTTAAGAAAAACACAAATTTTGAAACACCCAGGAGGCTAAACTCAAACAGGATGCGAAACCAAACTCGCAAGAAACAATACAGGCTAACAAAAATAGAAATTAAACAACAGGATAAATCAGAAAACTCACGTAGCAGAGGAGGGGCCAAGAAGAGGATTCTCCCTCATCGGCTGAAAAGAAAACCTGCCAAGAAATCTCGCCACGCAATCACTGTTCTTCTTGGGACAGTCGTTCACATACATGACAGCTACGAATACAGCAATATTCGCCACCACAAACATAGGCACTAGCCATGAAGTCCATTGACTCTCAGAGGTTTCGACATAGAAGTTGCTGCTCTCCCTGCTCTTCGTAGTCCCTCCTCCTCTCTCCAGATCTCCATTTGCCATCATTCCTACCTTATTCGTGGCAAGAATTCTCCTTTTCTGCTTCTCTGGAAATGAAACCATTATGCCGATGGCGTAAGAGAGAGTTGCTTACTTATAAATGATTTTCAGATTAGTTTGTTCGTCTGGTTCCGTTAAAGAGAAATGAGAGAGGTAGATCGAGAAGTGGCGTCCAAGAGTGTCCTTGGGTAATAAAATTATTAACGTGCTGTATGTTAATTTACTTATTTATCTTGTTTGGATGACTAATTGATGATATGGTTGGTTATTGTTTTTATTGATAGCTTATTTTTTTATTTTTTTTAAACTTTTCAAATTACTGATTCGGTAGTTTTTAACGGTTAAATTTTTTTTTTTCTATTTTGACCTCACAATTATTTATTAATTCTTGTATTATTCTTACTTAAATTTTGTTTTTCTTAAACTTAAACCTGCCATTCTTTTCTTTACCGTCGGTTGCTTCTCATCTTCTCCTCTACTTATACTTCCATATTTTGCTGATTGTGGGGAATTGAGAGAGCTTTTTGTAGAGGTTTCTGGAAACCAAGAGGAGGGGAAAATTATAGACGAGTTGAGGGAGAAGTGGGTTTGGCTTCTATTAGGAACGGTAATGTAACCTTTTTCTCTTTATTTTTATTTTTTTTTTCCTCTTTTCCACATAGTAAGATGTATGATCAATAAAATGGATGTCTCAGTTATCTGTGATTGAACATTGATAACTCAGTTTATTTATTTTTGCTATGAAGCTATTTGGCATTTTTAATATTAATTTTTTCAAGCTTCAAGCAAATTTGATAGTAGCATTGGTTTAAGTTCCTAGTTTGCTTTTTTGCTGCTTCAATAAGAGTTTTTTTAATTCCAAGTTGAGAGAGATTAGGGGAAGATTTTTGACCTAAATAAAAATAACTAGACAATGATAGAAGTTTTTCAGTCTTGCTTCCAACCCTATGCCTTTTCCTTTTTTTTTTCCTAGAAACTTTGTTAGCTAATGAATTTTTTTTTTCAGTCTTGCTTTCAACCCTATGCCTTTTCCTTTTTGTTCCTGGAAACTTTTTTTCCCTTTCTTCATAATTTTCATTTGGACGGAGATTACTATGAATTGGTTACTGTTATCATTCATCTTAGTAATTTTGTGTTATGTTAGATACATTCTGATTATTGAAGTTTTTATTTATGGACCTAATTTTTGTATGTAATTGTTGCACAATTTCTTGTCAAAATAGAGAACTGACGGGGTCATGTGTGTTAGGTTGGCAGTATTCAGTTAAAGTGGATGAGGTTTGTTTTTGTGTGTGTGTGTATGGATGTGTATATGAGCCTTTTTTTAGGCTTAAGATAACTTGGTTTGAGGATTGGTTTTCTTCTAAATGACCTATACAGTGATCTCTTTAGTTATGAGACTTTCTCATGCTTGTTAGCTAATGAAAATGATGATTACTGCAAATCATTATCAATCTTTGCTCTCTTTAATAATTGTAGATATAATGACTTGCTTGTTTTGATCATTCTTCATCATTTGTTCTTTTATCAATTTAGGTGCTGATAGGTCTTGTTTTCGAAGCCTACATCGGCTTAACATAGGACAATTAAGGCATCTCTTCTTTTTCTAGTTAGACAAATTGGTTGGATTTAAGTCAGGGATACTTTGTAGTAAATCAGTTTCAAAGCACCTTGAAAAACATAATAGAAGCCTAGATAAGAAAGAGCTTGTATGCCCTTAATCTTTTGGTATTACAATTTTTTTTCTTTTTGGGTTATTTTTCCTTTAGGTAGCTAAAAAAATGGCCTCACTTGTTCTTGTTAGAAGATATTAATATTTGGATATGATACAGATACTTTTTAGAATCTTTCCTCCTCCTTAATCCTGTTCTAATATCAAGAGCTCTGGGATATGGACATTCCTTTGGGATCGACAATCTGCAGAGGAGCTCTTCCACTAATGGATGTGAACTAGGAGAAATAATATTTCCATATCGAAGTTGTCTCTCCCGCACTTCCAATTGCAAGTGAGAACTAAAGGGTAGAGCTTGTTTCCCTTTCTGTGTAAGTTTCAGCTTTTTTTCGGGCCTCACTCTTTCCCTCTCTCTCTTGTTTCTAAGGAAATTTGTTTCAAACAAAAACCCCAACACTCTCTTTGATTTCGAGCAAAATCAATTGGAGATTTTACGAATTTCTTTGTTGTGATTTTGGTTAGAAGTCTATCTCCTAGTTTAGATGGATATATTATCATCATTTCTTGTTTCTGGAACTGAAAAGAAAAAAAGGAGGAAAAGAAAGGGCAAATCCTAGTCTTTTAGTTTGGCCATGTTAATTTGTACATGTAAAGAAACCAATGCTTGGTCTGTTTTCAAATTCTATATTATATAATTTAGTTTAACTTAATCTTATCTAGTCATGTACCCAAGCTAATATTAGATACCCACCATATTTTTTTTTCCATAATTGTAAATCTTTTGAGTTGATGTTTCAAGATATATATTTAATTCTAACTTAATGATCTTGTACTTATAATTGTATATTTAGTTTTTGTATCTATTTATCAAGAAGCATTTGTTTTCTCCCCTTGAATTGCTTAACAATTTATGCTTAAGCTTTAGCATTAGCAACTTATTGCTAATTGCAAAAGTTAATATTTCAATAAAACAAACTAACTCTTACATATACAACAAGTGTTTAACGAACATAAATACTCAAGAACAAATATTTATTTGTATGAGCTTGCTGCTGGATACGTGGTTCTTTGTATTATCACAGTAAATAACAAATTCTTTCTTTGCCAAAAAAAAAAAAATCAATGTACTTTGTAGTTTTTGGACAGATAAATTGATAAATCATCAATATATAAAACTTACAAAAGTTGATTGTGAGGATTTGGCAGTTTGGTAGGTTAATTTTATGTTTGGAAAAAAGAATTCTAGAAAAAGTATGAAGTTCTTGGTTAGTTCATATATGTGATTTTCTATGTTAATCAATTCTAGAAATTACATTACTTGAAATTGATTTAAGTTCAATGGCTTCTATTAACAGATTTTGTGACAAATTCTTTCTCTAGGCTCACTCCTTAACATCCTTATATAACTATATTTTCTTTTATATATGTACACACACACATATTTTTTTCTTATATTTAGTTCTCTTGTGAACTATTTTGCTACTGCTGCAATCCTCATTTTCTTTATCAACCACATCTTTAGCCAATTTAGGTGTGTTTAGCTCTACATTTTCTCCTTTTATTACTATATTTTTCTCTTAATTTCACGCCACCTAATTATTCACCAAACTCTCTCATACTCTGCAACTTTCATTGCTTGTTGCATGGAGTGAAAATTTTGAAAAAAAATTTCTTGGAAAAATTTAGTCATAGGCATAAATTTATTCTCTCTATTTTTTATCTCCCAATTTAGCTATAAGTATAAATTTTACTAGGAAAAATTTGATTCACTACTAATTAAAAAATTTAGAATATGATTTGTTTTAACTATTAAAAATAGGTAACCGTCTTACTATTGTTTTGTGTTAAAACTTATTATTGTTTTATTTTTCCTCGTAAGGTAAGAAAAATAGATCTTACAGAACATATAACTATTTTAGTGGGGTATTTTGTCATGTTTCTTGCGATTTTTATTTATAAAAGGAGAAAGCTTCAACTTACTAAGGAATTACCACTAGAGAGAGAGAAAGTTCGAGATAAACTGATGAAAAGCTTGGTCTCAAGTGAGTTTTGTCAATATATCATCAGGATGAGAGCTCCAACCTTTATGAATTTATATTGTTTGCTAGTTATAAATTGTGGACTTAGGCACACCGTTCGTGCTACTATTAAGGAACAAGTTGCCAAGACTTTTTACCTATTATGACACAATAAGAGAAATCGAGTCCTATCTTACCATTTTGACAATCCGGTGAGATGACAAGTTGTCACTTTCATATTGTGCTATGATGTATAGTACAAATGACAAATAAATTTTTTATTCAGCCAGGTGGATCATAGGTGCATTCGGAAATAACCAACAATCCTAGAGTATTTCCATATTTTAAGGTAAATATATATGTTATTTAATTTATAATTTTTCAAAACTTGCAAGTTTAATTAAGTTTTTTTAAATAGGTATAAGTTTAGCTAAGTAGATAATAATTAATTTTAGGATTGTATTCGTTCAATTGATGAAACACATATGCGTGTAAAAATGTCTACAAATGATGTCTCAAGATTTTGTGGGAGAAAAGATTACCCCACACAAAATATATTGGCAGCTTGTACGTTCGATTTAAAATTTACATACGTCTTAGCTGGGTAGGAGGGGACCACATCAGATTCAAGAATATTAAAGCATGCATTAAACAGACTTGAGGATCCTTTAGTTATTCCCAAAGGTAATTAAAATATATTGAGTTTAAATGTATAATGTATAAGTCTAAAGAAAAAGTTATAACTCAAATTATTCATTGTTTATAGGTAAGTTCTATCTTGGGGATGCTAGTTTCATATTGCAGGGTAAAATAATTACTCCATATAGACGAGAATGGTACCTTTTGGGTGAATACTCAAGTAATCCACCATGCAATACTCATGAGCTATTTAATCTTCGTCATGCTTCTTTACAAAATGCAATTGAACGTGCTTTTGGAGGTCTTAAGAAATATTTTCCAATTATTTCAACCTCTATTGAACTTCATTATCATATCAAGCCTTTTAATCACATTATATTTATTTGTTGCATTTTGCACAACTACTTATAGGGAGAGGATCCAAATGATGAACTTCTTGTAGAGGTTGATGAAGAACTTCAACACGTTTATCATGATAAACGAATTCAATATAACGTTAGGGATAGTACTGAGGAAATAAGGAGGAGGAAAACTATTAGAGATCATATAGCAGCTGATACGTTGGCTACTTATAATGCTTGATTACATTTTGAACTAATGTGTTGATTATGACATTTGTATGGTTTATGACTTTTGAGATATTTTAAAGTTTTAATTGAACAATATAATTTAGAATTTGTATGATATATAATCATATTTGTTCATTATATATGTTTATGTTGAATGGTATATGACTTTGTGATTTTATGATTATATATGTTGGTATTGTGTTGTGTGTTTTAGAAAATGACAAGGAGGAATAGATTTGCAGATAGAGGGAGCAACACTGTCCATTGGATAGACGTTATGG